ATCCAGGGAACTTCAGAAAAGCAGAAGTTAGATGGGAGCTGGTGACAGTTTTCAGAAATGGGGTCATCAAAGAAAACATTTGAATAAACACGATTTCAGAAGAATTCTGGATTCAACATTTTAGAGGAGTCAGGAAAGACATCATTGCTGAGATGACATTTAAGTTGGCACTCCAAGGCATCTGCTAGGTAGAAAATGGAGCAGCGCATTCCAAGCAGAGGACACAGGCTGTGTGGGGCCAAGGAAACTGAACCAGCTCTGACTATCTGAAGGAGAATCAGAGATCCACATGGCCAGAGGCTGGAGTGCCTGTCAGGATTGCTGTTCTAGCACGAGACTGGGGCCAAAATATTGCCATATTTTTCACTTGTCAGTAAATAAAATACCATACTTTTATTTGGTACTAATACCAAATAAATACCATACTTGCTAAGAAAATATGGAATTAGTCTTATCTAATGCTCTAACAGTAGTTCCTATGACTTCCAAGAGTAAAGTTTCTCTCCAAGTAATCTGTTTGTAGAGAGCTGTAAGTTTCTAACTAAATACAGAGTTTCTAGGAATGGAATACTTCTACTTACTGACAATAATTTAGAGTCATCTATATAGATTTCATCAATCCACAGTAGTTTTTTGAGGGAAAGGCATTGACCTAGTAGACTGCAAGTGAAGGAAGGCAAAACCACCAGTTTAAAAAAATAAACACTGCAGGAATGTGGGCACATGATGAAGTCATTTTAAATACAATGTGTCAGAAGGAAGGTGTTTTGCATGTGACATATTATTTAATCCTAACACACTTCAGGAAGTGGATAGTAATGTCACCATTTCACAAATGAGAAAACTGAGGAACAAATAGTTTCTTATAAAATCATCTGTTTAAACTCGAGCCTTATTTTTCAACATCTGAGACTTTTTTTCCCCTAAAAAACAAGAGATTTGATGTGCTGCCTGCCTCACAGAGCTGTTGGGAGGATTAAAAGAAATAACAAACAGAACTTTTGACATCAGTTTTGACCTTTCCCTGGTTTTAAGTTTTCTGATTCAGTCCTGATGTTTACATATTATTAAGAACTGACTCTTTGTAAAAGAGACTCTATGAAACCTGTTGGTGGAGAAAGTCTTTCCCTAATATATCTGAAAATATACTGATTCAAACTATTTGTTTTTAAATAATTAAAAATATTGTCTTTACATGCATTCTTCTCCTTTTCCTTCTTCTACTTCTCCTTTTCCTCCTCTCCTCCTTTCCCTCTTCTTCCTCTTCCCCGTCTCTTTCTTCCTCTTCTTCTCCTCCTTCTTCTTTCTCTCCTTCTCCTTCTTCATGTTTTATATAAAATCGAAGCACAAACTTTGACCATTATCCATGCATGGAGTATCTTTTTAAACACCTTCAGTTTTTCTCTTTGCATTTTAATGGTTTTAGTTGAAAATGTATTTTTTCCCTGTCTTTTTAAATAACATCTCATGGACAGAGGAGTCTGGCAGGCTACAGTCCAATGGGTCGCAAACTGTTGAATATGACTGGGCCCAAACACACCAAGTAATAATGTATGTGTCCATCAGTTAATTTTATATGCATTAACTTACTTAATCTTCACAACAACTCTTTCTTTAAGGTAAATACTGTTATTATCTCCATTTTCCAACTGAGAAAATGGAAGCAAAGAGATATTAAGTGACTTGCCTAAGATCACACAGCTAATAAGAGGCTGAGTCAGGTTGTGAATTGAGGCATCTTGGCTCCAGACTGAACTCTTAAAACACTGGGTCATGATGTAACATTTCTGAAGATAATGGATCACCTTCCTAAATAAATCAGAGTCATGATTCTGTATAACAATTTTTATTGATATCCACAGAAACTATTGTTTAATTCAGAATTATGTCCCTATCTATTATGCTTTTTGACTTAGCTTCTTTCAATATTTTTTCTCTTTGTCCTCTCTCTGTGAAAAAATCATTTTCAGTATATTGACCTACAAATTGCCATCTTTCCTCTAGTTACTCTGCTCCCAATTTTCTAAGAGCCAGAGACCAGGTCACCCTATAAATTAGAACTGTCTTTAAGATATGAGTCATGAGGTCTTGAGAGAAGACCTAAGCCTTTAGTGACTGGACTTTGTGACGTCTGTGATGGAGATCTTCACTTTTTGGCATATTTTCTGTTCTCAACTGGGATTCTGGATGATAAGCAAGGTGTCACAAAATAGAAATTAAAGGCATTTCTACTCTTCCACCTGTTCCAAAGTGTTTCAGTCATCATAGTAATTAGAAGGATGGCCTAGTTCCTCAAGCTTCTGGGTAACCATCCGATGCTTAGAAGTAGAGAGACATGGCCACAACTTGTATAAAAATAGCCCTTCCAGATGGTCTAGGGGCAAAGTTACAACTCAGCAGCTTGATATAGCTGAGCACTTGAATTTAGGAGTAGGAGGAGAGCTATGCCGAGAAGTAGCCAGAGAGACTGGGCTTGAGTCCAATTATAAGTAGAACAGGAGATGCCAGGAGAGATCACTTAACGTGGCAGATTAGCTGTTAAGATTTCCTGTTTACTTCATCTTCATCCCCTCCTCACCTCCCTTGATTCAACCTTACCTCCTAGCCTCAAGGGAAACACACACACACACACATTCTTAAAAAAAAATAAGGGGTACAGAGTAGAGGTATAAACCATGAATCTTAATGTGCATTAGAATTCCACTAGCCAACTCATTTTAGCCACAAGCAGAATATGGTGAGCACTGAAACCCACCTAGCATGTCTCTAGGACTTGGACCCTCCAGCTTCTGGGTCGGAGTTCATCTTCTCTCTCTTTGGTGGGAGGGTGTGTCCAGTGATATGCGCCATATTTCCCCCAGGCCTACCTTAAGTCATTCCAAGCTCAAAAATGGAAACCTCTAGTTAAAAAAAAAAAAAAAAAAATGGAAAATGACCAAAGTCACGATATTGCTTCTAACTCTCAAAACAAATACTAAGGCTCTGATGAATGAGTCACTAGCTTGTTTCCCAAATGAGAATACTTACTCAGCAAATGTTTCAACAGGCTAAGATATGTAGTTTTCACATTTACTCTACCTTCTAATAACTCTGCATTTCCCCTGGATATTCTGGAAGAAAACTTAAGCCTCTGCCTGTAGCAAATCTATTACTTTAAATATCTCAATGTTTGAAGTCAAGTGTTAACTTTTAAAATACAGTAATTAGGGATGGATTAATGCTAACATGTAGCAGCAGTTGTAATAGACACTATCATTTTTGAAAAACAAGCGGATTGAGAAGCATACTCCTCTCTTTTAGTACCACTCACGATTAGCCCAAATCCAAGGCATTGCTGTGCCCTGCTGGCAGTCCAGCCTCACTGCAGGTAAGTGACTTACAGGTGCAGAGGTTCTGGGGCCAGTCTTCCAAATTCATTTCTACAACAGTCCCAGGCTTCCCTGATAGCTCAGGCAGTAAAGAATCTGCCTGCAATGCAGGAGACCCTGGTTCAACTTCTGGGTTGGGAAGATCCCCTGGAGAAGGCATAGCCTACCCACTCCAGTATTCTTGGCTTCCCTTGTGGCTCAGCTGGTAAAGAATCCGCCTGCAATGTGGGAGACCTTGATTCAGTCACTGGGTTGGGAAGATCCCCTGGAGAAGGGAAAGGCTCCCCACTCCAGTCTTCTGGCCTGGAGAATTCCAAGGACTGCATAGAGTCAGACACGACTGAGTGACTTTCAGTTTCACTTTTCATTCTTACATGGAAGGTTCACAGGCAGCAAGAAACAAATCCCCAACTAACTTTTTCCAACCCAGTAGGATTTGTGCTTCCCAAGTGAACATTACAATATTGTTACCAAGTGGTAACAATATTGTGGTAATTTTCTTTTCTCCCTCATCTATGTGCAAATATATATATTAAAAAAAATTTTTGGCCACACTGCATGGCATGTGGGATCCCAGTTCCCCGACCAGGGATCAAACCCAAGCTCTCCTGCATTAGAAACACAGAGTCTTAACCACTGGACAGCCAGAGAAGTTCCATTAAGTTACTTTTCAAGAGCATATTTCTTTGCTTTTTAGAGATTTATCCTCAATCTGCATGGAGTACTGGCTTTGTGCCAGGTATCTTGCAGTGTCTAGGAGCAGGCAAAGAGGCCTCTACCTTGATGGACACATGCAGTTACAGAGCCACATCCTCAAAGAGCTCAGCTACATCGCTGGCTGATGGGGGACTGGCCACCCTGGAAGAAGGAATGGAGAGGGGGAGGGACATTTTGTGATTGTTCACCAAGAACTCAAGCCTGCGTTTGCTTTGTTGGAGCCAGGTGGAGTATTCTGTGTGTAATGGTCAGAATTGATCTATGAGTTAAGTGTGCTAATTCTCCTCCAGGTATATCCCCCTGGCCTTGCAACATCCCCCAGGCTCTTGTAACAGAGAAAAATAAACTTGACTTCATATTGGATCTATCCCTTTAGCTCTAATCTTTGTGTTCTGTTGTCAGTGCCTTGTCATGCTGGCTCTATACCTTTCGTAAAAGAATATTGCCTATAGTCTGAAATACACAGGATAGCCCATTCTCAAGGCTCTGGCCTTTAAAAGTTTCTCATTTTTCTAATCATAGATTATAAGGTTGCAAAAGATAGAGTAACATTTGTCTTGTTGGAAGTTCACAGGAACATCATGACCTGACCTATGCAGACAGCTGCAAGAAAAACGACTCCGACATTAAGAAGTTTGCAACAATCAGCCACATTTCCTCCCTTTTGTGGAGAAGACAGTGGCAACCCACTCCAGTACTCTTGCCTGGAAAATCCCATGGACGGAGGAGCCTGGTAGGCTGCAGTCCACGGGGTCGCGAAGAGTTGGCCACGACTGAATGACTTCATTTTCACTTTTAACTTTCATGAATTGGAGAAGGGAATGGCAACCCACTGCAGTGTTCTTGAGTGGAGAATCCCAGGGACGGGGAGCCTGGTGGGCTGCCGTCTATGGGGTCGCACAGAGTCGGACACGGCTGAAGCGACTTAAGCAGTAGCAGCAGCAGCAGCCTCCCTTTTTAGTATTCTGAAGGATGCCTGAATTCAATTCAGGTAAGATGGTTCTTTGGGACACTAGTCCACCATCTTCTTGGGTTGCTGGCTTTCCAAATCAAGTTCTATTCTTTGACCCCCGACACATCGTCTCTTGATTTATTGACCTGTCACGCAGTGAGCAGTACCACTTTGGACTTGGGAACAGTCTTAGTAGAGCTGACCTGAAGCAGAGGTCGACCTGCTGAACAGATATTGCCCAAACTAAGAAGGTAAGTCAAGGATGATTTTCAATGTCTTTATTAAGAAATATCAAAAGTTGATTACATTTCCATACACAGTTTTACAAAGTTCGAGTGAAGGGGAAAGTAGGGAGGCCATCAGTATGCCTGTTTGGACACCACAATCACTTTCCAGAAAGGTAACCTTGTCACTTTTGGTCACCTCAGCAGTGGTCCACACAAGGCTCGTTCCTACTTCCTCTAGGCCACAGCACAATACATCACTTGAGTTCTAATAAGTTACAAATACTCAAACATTTGTCCTTTTCTTCTGTCATTATCCTTCCCTGAAAAAGCCAAGCTGTTTATAGAAAGCACAACACTTGAGTCCCATTGACTGCAGTTTGCATCACATTTTCACAAAGCCTGCGTTGAGAGTTGGAAAACATTGCAAGTTACATGTTACCATAGCATACTTGGGATGGAACCCACGCACATTGTTATTTTTTATTTTAACATTTAACAAAAAAGAGGGAAGCACTCAACTTGGAAACGGAACAGCACAGTCATCAGTGGAGAAGTTAAGTGCGGGACAGGGCCTGCAGATTCCACGAAGCTCCTCCAAGAGGTCACCAGGGTGACCAAGAACAATTGGAGGCAGGGATATCAATACAGAATACAGAAAGAGAACCTCTTGGGCAGGGAACATCACACTCTTTTGTGTCAGGGATATTGCATCAGAGGGGAATTACACTTTCAAAAATGATCAGGGCTAGTGGGTCCTTGGCACCAGACAGGACACTGGCAATGGTTTGGTGTGCCTCGGTGAAGCCTTGTGCTGGGTTATCTAAAAGTGGATCTCTGAAGAGACTGTCCAGCAGCATCAGAAAGTGCTATCTTCAGAGGAAGGACTCCTTATTCACCCACATGAGACTGCGGGTCTCGTTGGGCTTGCATTCATACTCAATGACGGAGAAGGGACTTCCCCACTGGCAGTGATCTCGCTTGTGGTAATTGTAGAACTTGACCTGCCACATTGTCTCGAAGGTCCCAATGTCAGTGAACTGAGGGAAGAGAAACACACCCCATCAAAAACTCATTCTGCCACCAGCAATAGACAAAAGCTGATGTTCGTGGAAGAGGTGTAATAGGGAAGAACAAATCTGACTCCATATTAGAGCTGTTTCTTTTACTTTAACCTTCCCATTCTATTGTTTTTGCTTCAAGATAAGAATGTTACCTGAAATACACAGGATAGCCCATTTTCAAGGTTCTGACTTTTAAAGAGTAAAACACTTTTCTAGTCATATAGAGGTAAAATGTTGCAGAACAGAGAGTAACATTCATCTTGTTGGAGGTTTACAGGAACATTGTGACCTGACCATGTGGACTGCTGCAAGAACAGATTCCTGCACCAAGAGGTTCGCAATGACTAACTCTCCTCCTCCCCACACTCTGCCCCTCACGTTTCAGTAACCAGTATAATCACTCCGGGCTCCTGTGATAAAAGCTTAGGCCTTTTACTGTAATGAATGATCTTCCTTTATTACAAGAGAGATTTTCCTGAAAAGCTATCTGTAAGTCATTTATTTCTCTATAAAATCACATTCCCATTACACTTATTGCATTTGCTATGATATTGCCTTCATAAAAATAACTCTCCAAATGTGTATGTTTCCTAAATTGAAGTTCTGGAAACCACTCTTAGAATCTCAGAATTTCAGAGCTTGCCACAGAAGGGAGATTGGGAAGAGAAGAGAAGAAATGGTGTTTAATGATTGCTTTTGGTTTCTGTTTAATAAAACAGTTGTACAAAATAACGTGTGTCCAACATGACTAAACATAATATACAACTGCCCTCTCATCATTAATTTCAACTCCACGAAAACCTATTTTATTGAAAGCATTTGCTTGTTAAAGATGCTAACTTTCAAGTACTATTGAGTGTTTATAAGCCATGCCCATGCCTCAGGTTTTGATTATACATTATCCAAAGCCATAGCTGAATATCTACTGTGTGACTTACACATAGAAAAATTTGTATAAGGGATGCTCCTTGCTCTCAAGAAATCTGCTACCTTCTACCAGAAGACAGGCCCTGAAAACACTGCACAGAATTCTCCAGAGTCATGAGCACACAATTCTCATGTAGCTGAGAAGAGGGTACAGAATACCCTAGAGGCCGCTGGGCAGGGGCTCAAGTGGCCTGCGGGGTAGCCTGACCCTGCCACCGTCTCCTGGAGCTATTTAGGGGACCTGGCATTAAACAGCATGATGCCTGCTGTTATTTTCTCCTCTGACCCTCCCTTGTCATGGGAGGAGACACGGACTGACTTAGCAGGGTTCTTAGACTTGTCAGGAGCCAGAAGACGTGGAGGGGGGAGGGCAGTGAGCAATAGGAGCCTTCTGCTAGCGGCTGCCACAGGGGAAGGGTGATCAGGTGCTTCCCAGATAGCTTTCCAAGATGCTTTCAAAATTATATCCTGCACCATTGCCTCATCTTGTTAATCTGATCCCAAAACAAGATTTGGCTTGCCTTTGGAAAATTTGCTTGACTTGTAACAGTGGATGATGTACCTCGAGTCCACAAATCTTCTCTCAGCTAAGAAAATGAAGTCTCTCTTTATAGAAAGTCATGACTTAAAGACCTGTGCACAAATATGCAGCTTTATTCACAAAAGCCCTAGACTGGAATCAACCCAAATGTTTCAGCATTTACCTGCTGATAGACACATTTTGGTATATCTACTAATATAAAAAGACTTTTTACTTAACAATAAAATAGAACATACTGATTCAGGCAGCAATAAGGTTGGATTTCAAAGACATGCTGGGAAAAAAAAAAAAAAGACATGCTGAGCAAAAGAATCCAGACCCCCAAAGAATATATGTACTATATGTACTATATGTACATATATGTACCATATATTTATGTACATATATATGTATATCTATGTAGTTTATAGTGATAGAATGACAGGCTCCTCTGTCCATGGAGTTTTCCAGGCAAGAATACTGGAGTGGGTTGCCAGTTCCTACTCTAGGGGATCTCCCTGACTCAGGGATTTAATCTGCTTCTCTTGTGTGTCCTGCATTGCAGGTGGATTCTTGACCTGCTGAGCCATCAGGGAAGCCCCAGAATATAATCTATGCTGGGAGGAAATATCTGTGGTTACCTCGGTTACCTGAGGTAGGAGGAGGGGATAGATGATTGATGAAAATGTGCCAGAGGCAACTTTTTGCAGGTAACGGAAACATTTTACATCTTGATTGGGGTGGTGGTTACAAGAGCACATGTATGTGTTTGTTAAAACTCATTGATCAGTATACTTAAAATGGGTATATTTATTATATGTAAATATGCAACAAAGTTGATTAAAAATTATAAATATTGATTTTTAATGAGCAACAAGGAGACAGGTATTCTTAACCCTGCCAGTGGGAACTGAATTACACAGCCTTTTGGAAGGGTAATTTGTCTCTGGAAGGACTGACACTGAAGATGAAACTCCAATACTTTGGCCACCTCATGCGAAGAGCTGACTCATTGGAAAAGACCCTGATGCTGGGAGGGATTGGGGGCAGGAGGAGAAGGGGACGACAGAGGATGAGATGGCTGGATGGCATCACCGACTCGATGGACATGAGTTTGATTAAACTCTGGGAGTTGGTGATGGACAGGGAGGCCTAGCATCCTGCGATTCATGGGGTCACAGAGTTGGACAAGACCGAGCGACTGAACTGAACTGAACTGAAAGCTGTGAACATACTTGGGTATAGCAATTTCATTTATAATTTATCTTGACATCACAGTGTTCAGAATAGTGAAAAACTGAATTATAAATTTCCATCCTTAATTCATTATGGCATATCTATATAGTGGAATACTATGTAACAATTCTAAATGTAAATATTTAAATAAAAATTTTCCATTATTCTGTATTGTTACCTGAACTAAGCAGAGAACCAACAAGACTGTCTAGCATTAATTTCATTAAAATTACACAGGACTTTCCTGGTGGTCCAGTGGTTAAGAATCCGCCTGCCAGTGTAGGGACACGAGATCGGTCCCTGGTCCAGGAAGATCCACATGCTGTGGAGCAACTAAGCCCATATGCCACAGCTAATGAGCCTGTGCTCAGCGGCTACTGAGCCAGGGGGCCACAACTACTGAAGCCCATGCGCCTAGACCCTAGGCTCTGCAACAAGAGGAGGCATAGCAATGAGAAGCCGGTGCACAACTAGAGAGGAGCCCCCACTCTCCGCAACTAGAGAAAGCCTGCATGCAGCAACGAAGACCCAGTGCAGCCAATTAAAAAAAAAATATATACATGTAAATGCTGATGGAATAAATTTCATTTTCTTCTATGTACTTATTGGTACTTTAATGATCAAATTTTACTTTTATAATCAGAAAAAATGTTAAGCCAAATTATATTTACAAGTTTAACCAAAGAGCTAATATCCTTAACATAAAATATGTTAAGAACTACTAAGAACATTCGGATAAAACTGAACAGTTCATTAAAAAAATTGGTTAACTCTGAAAAATATTCAAATGTAGTAGTATTAGTAATTAAAGAAATACAAACTTTCAGAGTTTTGTAACTTGTTCACCTATCAACTCAGCAAACATTTTCAAATACCAGAAGCAGTTTAAACCTAAAACTTTAGGAAAGTATTATGAAAAATGGTGGTATATCTGTACTCTGAATATGTATAACCACTAAACAGAAATTTCGGGTTTTTTTTTTTTTAATTTATTATTCATTTAGTTTTGGCTGTGCTGGGTCTTCACTGTCGTGAAGGCTTTTCTGTGGTTGTGAGTGGGGGCTGTGCTTTGGCTGTGGTGCCCGAACTTCTTACTGCGGTGGCTCTTTGTTGGGGAGCATGTGCTCTGGGGCACGCGGCCTTCAGGAGTTGCAGTGCATGGGCTCAGCAGTGGTGGTCGGTGGGCTCTAGAGACAGGCACACAGGCTTAGATGCCCAGTGGCATGTCGAATCTTTCCGCATCAGGGATTGAAACTGTGTCTTCTGCATTGGCAGGTGGGTTCTTTACCACTGAGCCACCAGGGAAGCCCAGGAATTTAGTTTTAATGATGACAGAAGATGATGGATGAAAATGAGCTCAAATATATTAGATGTATAGAGGAAAGAACATAGAAAAATATTAACAAGAATTCCCTAAGTAAACTTTTTCTAGCTTTCTACTTAGATTTTCTGCAATAAATATGTTACTTTTATAAGCAGAAAGAATATTTTAAATGGTGAGATGGATCTATCACCCCTGAAAAATTAATAAAAATATCCCTCAAACCCTAGGGATTTAATAAAATCTATTAAGGATACATAGTATGAAGTATGATACAACTTTGTTTATAATACCACCCTTAAGTGGTAATAATAAACTGATATCTCATTTTACAAATCACTGAGATGACTTAGTATTATTTTTGACCAACGTAGGATACTGTACATTTTAAGTGCAACTGAATTAAGTTCTAAAAATATTTTATAAACACCAACTAAACTTTTGCAGGAGCAGCTTGAAACAAGATTAGGTAAGTGGGAGAAACAATACTGAGGCCTATTTGGAAATAGATATAAATAAAAGTTAGCCACAAAAACAAACAAAGATGATTATGACCACAGGCAATAAACAAAAACAGAAGCCCTAAGGCACTACGCTTAACATCTGAGTAACCTTACAACTAAGACAGTCTCCATCCAAGAATTCTCAGCAACACAGTAAACCAAAACAGAAATATGTTGACAGCAAGTCACAGCTAAAGATTCTATTTTGTTTCTTTTATTAATGTTGGACTCAAGGTCATGTTATAGTAAACTAAACTGCTGCTGACTAGGCATATATTTTCCTCTCCCACATCTTAATTGTTTTAACTTCTCATAAGTGCTCTTTCTATTCTTCCTTCTGGAGCTCTATTTCCTAGCCATCTCTACCTAACTCGGGATTTCTTCTGTTCTGGCTAAGAACAGATGGGGTCTTCAAAACGGACATTGCTTTTGAAGAACAGAAACAACTACATAGCTTTCTACCCACTCCCAACCCATCTGTGCCTTCCAAGGAAAATTTACCCAGGCAAGCTCCCCAGTGATACACAGGATAATTCTGTGCATTTAATAGCTCTCTTTTTTAAAATACACAATTACTATCCTTTATCTCATTCAGTCTTGTGTCTGGTTTTAACATCTCCATTTTGTGGATGAAAGAACTAATTCAGAGAGGTTAAGTGAGTTGCTCTAGTACTGTGCAGCCAGCTAGTGGTAGGAGCAAGTCAAGAACCTAGGTTTCCTAATTTTCATCTAGAAAATGATAACCAGTGTACAAGCAAATGGGCTACAAGCTACTGAACAGTGTTTCTTTCTTCTCCCTGAATGAGAAGAATATCTATGAATTGTCATGTGTAGAATGTTTTAGGATGCCACTACAGACTGTTTGTATCTCCCCAAAATTCAAATGGTAAAGCCTAAATCCCCAGTGATAGTATCTGGAAGTGGGGTCCTCTGGAAGTAATTATGGCGGGAAGATGGAGCCCTCATGAATAGGATTAGTGCCCTTATAAAAACAGACATGAGAGGGATGATCTGTTTCTCCCTTCCTTCATGTGAGAACACAATACGAAAGAAGCTGTCTATGAATCAGGAAGAGTGTTCTCATCAGACACCAGGTCTGCTGGCACCTTGATCTTGGATTTCCGGCCTCCAGAACTGTGAGAAATAAATATCTGGTGTTTAAGCCTGCCAGTCTATAGTATTCTGAAACTGACACTCTACTATATACCTGGACATTTTATTTACGTTAGTGTTCTTACAAGTTACAAGCCTTGGTACACTTCTGTTTCACAACCAATGTGAAGGGGAACCCAGATTCTAAGGAGAGGAGACTCATTTGTTGTCCTCAGTAACAAGTGAGGAATCTTGACTTGTTAATAAACAGTAAATATTTTATTGAAATTTTTTTTCTGTTGTGTTGGGTCTTTGTTACTCTGTGCGGCTTTCCCTAGTTGTGGAGAGCAGGGTCTACTCTCTAGTTGCAGTACATGGGCTTCCCATTGCGGTGGCTTCTCCTGTTGGAGAGAAAAGGCTCCAGGCACAACAGGCTCTGGGCGATGATAGCTGCAGCACTTGGGCTCGGTGGTTGTGCTGGTTCAGTAGCTGTGGCTCATGGGCTCGGGAGCGTGGGTTAGTAATTGTAGCACATGGGCTTAGTTGCCCCATGACACATGGAATACTCCCAGATTGGGGATTGAACTCATGTCTCCTATATTGGAAGGCAGATATTTAATCACTGTACCACCAAGAAAGTCCTGAATAATTTATTTTAAACAATTTCTGTGGTGGTCTTACAACCATATGACCTAGAATCCCCAGAGTACTTCTCTCCATTCACCATTCTACTCAATTTCACCAGTGACATTTGAAATTCATCAAGAATAAAGTGACGCAGAAATTCATTGACTTAGGAGCACAGAATCAACTTATTATATTGATAGAGACATGATGTTACTTCATTAGTAAACAAATTCAGTATAAATAAGCATCTGTGACTTTTACTGTGGTATGACCTACCAATTCCTACTGGATTCCAAACATCTCTATTCCTGTACCATTTGAAGTTTTATTAGTAAATCCTTATTTTCCATTTCTCTTAGCTGAATAGATAAGGCTAAAAGTTCTAAGTCTTATAAGTATGCTTAACTTCATAAGAAATTGTTAAACTTTTCCAAAGTGATTGTGCCATTTTACTTTCCCACCAGCAATATGAGTTTCAGTTGTTCTATTGATACATTCTCTCCAAAAGCTGACATTGCCAGTTCTTTTAATTTTAGCTAGTCTTATAGTAAGAAGAAGAAAAGCAATAAAAAGCACAAACCAATGAAA